ACATCCGCATAAAACGAAAGGGTGATGGCGGCACTAACATGGCGCGCATGTGCTTTGCGGCGACATCCGACACCCAATGAGGGTTATTATACGGTCCCGGCCGGCGATCGATTTCAATAACAATCGCGGTGCCGACACTGTCAATCATCATGACGGAACGGATGGCGGATCGGAACACACAGAACTACTGCCGCCGTCATTTTCTAGGTTTCTTCCCAATTAATCATCGCATGGTCAAGTCCTCACCCTGCTTCTCACTGCGAGCATGCATGCCTCCTCCGGTAGGAGTACTCGGCCCTATCGTTAATTGGGCCAATGCAAGATCGATGGAGCACGTCGTAACTGCTTCAACTGCTCACCGCCACATCTGGGAATTCGAACAAGTACAGAGACAGCTGCGTGCAAGGCCGTGTGCAGCCGATCCGGAAGCTGCCGGTGCCAAATTTAAGCAAAGATCAGTCACAGATCTCGCTCAGTCACCAACCGGTTGGTTGGAGGAGGAATGGAGGCCGACCAAGCAGTGTTCGGCGTACTATTTCAGCGAACAACGCGAACAGTACTTCCAATCAGGAGCAATACGAACAGGGCCTATAGTAGCCTAGCTAGCGCGACTGTACTGCACGAGGGGTAGGCGGCTAGTGGGATTAGCTTTGCCTCTAGGAGTACTCTACAGGCGCCTGCGGCATTGCAGCTTGGCGCTTTGCCGTGGCGGGGCACTGGGGCAGGCACCGCACCGGCACCGGCAGGCGGCAGGTGAGTGTGAGCGAGAGCCGAGAGGTCAGAGATCGGCCGCGCCAGTACTGCTGCTTGCACACCGCACCGGCCGATCTTGTTCCGTCCCTAGCTCCCCTCACGTAATAGCTCCCATCAACGCCCACTGGCGTCATGTTGCGTTCCTCATTTACTCCCTCCTACCACACCTTGCCAACTCCGCCTTGTGAGCGGGCCCCACCTCTCACACAGTCACACACACTCACACTCTACTTTGTGTACTACTACCTCTTCTCGATCCTCTTCCCTATCCCTATATATACACTTTCGTGGACAACACACTCTCCAGGAGCCCAGGTGTGTCCTCCACTCGATCAGCAGCCACTGGGTAGCTAGCTATCTACCAGAGCCCCGGCCCGAAGCTGAAGCTAGCTAGCAATGGCTGCAGCGACTCCTGCTGGTCGTCATCCTAGCAGCTGCATTCCACGGCAAGCTGCCGCCGCTGTCGTGCCGGCCTTGCTGCTGCTGGCGGCGATGGCCGCCTCCTCCTGCGACGCGCAGCCCTCCCCGGGGTACTACCCGAGCTCGAGGTACAGGCCGGTGCCGTTCAACCGCGCCTACGACAACAAGTGGGGCCCGCAGCACCAGACGCTCTCCGGCGACCATTCCGCCCTCACCATCTGGCTCGACAGGACCTGCGGTATGTTGTGTTATTATTAAATTTTACTGAATTAATTAATTACTGGTACCAGGCGATAGCTACAAAAGAAAGAAAGAAAAATTCTTGCCTTTTGTTTTGCTACAAGTGCCCCGATGTGGCTGTGGCCGTGCCCAACTGCCCGTGCATGTGATCGATGTGGCCCATTTTCCACGTATTGTTTGTTGCTCTCGCTGCCGACAAAGACATCACTGCTGCTGGTCTTTTTCAACTGCTTCCACTAGCTCTGATTTGATCATTTTTGCGAATAATGCGTGCGTGCAGGGAGTGGGTTCAAGTCGAAGCACGCGTACAGGAACGGCTACTTCTCCACTCGCATCAAGCTCCCCGCCGGCTACACCGCCGGCACCAACACCGCCTTCTACGTAAGCATCTTATGCAGCGCTGACCTCCCACTCGCTTGGGTGCTTGCATTGGGGGTTGGGGCTAACACACATGTACACATCCATACAGCTGTCCAACAACGAGGCGTACCCTGGTTTCCACGACGAGATCGACATGGAGTTCCTGGGCACGATCCCGGGCGAGCCCTACACGCTGCAGACGAACGTGTACGTCCGCGGCAGCGGCGACGGCCGCATCGTGGGGCGCGAGATGCGGTTCCACCTGTGGTTCGACCCCACGGCGGGGTACCACACGTACGCCATCCTGTGGAACCCCGACGCCATCACCTTCTTCGTGGACGACGTCCCCGTCCGCCGCTACGAGCGCCGCGCCGAGCTCACCTTCCCCGACCGCCCCATGTGGATGTACGGCTCCATCTGGGACGCCTCCGACTGGGCCACCGACGACGGCCGCCACCGCGCCGACTACCGCTACCAGCCCTTCGTCGCGCGCCTCGACCGCTTCGTCGTGGCGGGGTGTTCTGTGTCGGCGCCGCCGGCGTGCAGGCCCGTGCCGGCGTCGCCCGCGGGGGCTGGGCTCACGGCGCAGCAGTACGCGGCTATGCGGTGGGCGCAGCGGGAGCACATGGTTTACTACTACTGCAACGACTTCCGCAGGGACCACTCGCTCACGCCCGAGTGCTAGTGGTAGGCTGGTAGCCCGGTTGCTGCGTGCTTTGTGTTTTGTTTCTTTGCTAGTAGTATATGGTAAGGTGTGGGCAGTGGCTGCCCTACCACCGCCGCGGCTCTCTGCTTGTGATGAGGCGCCCGCGGAGCCCGGTGGTTGAGGCGTTGGTCGTTGGTCGTTGGCGTATCGCCAACAAAGTGGTGTGTCGCCGTTCGTTTCTTCCCGTTGTTGTTGCTTTCCATTTGGTCTCGCATGCATGCATCACATGCGAGGCGCCCCAAAGGGGCAAGCGTCCATGATTCATGGCATCACGCATGCCCACTGTAATACGGATATATTACTATGTATACCATATATATACTCTATATATATTTAATACTCGTTTCCTGTCGGTGAGGTTATACTATGTGATTGTTGTAATGCAATTTTTACCTTACAATCGATTTGTTGTTGCTGCTGCTGCTTTGATGGCGGTCGGTGATTTGTTGTTCACAAATCACAATCGATTTTACATTGCTGGAGCTGTTGATTTTCTCAAGCTAGACTACTGTCAACATCGCCGTGGACCAGGGAAAAAAGAACACAAGGCTGCGTTTACGTGCAGGCATTGACCATACCAGTGTCCAGTGGGCCGAGCATGCCGCTTGCCGCATGGCGAATGCCAGTGCGGCAGTGCCACCAGCTGCAGGTCACTCGGCCTGAAGGACTGCCATGATGCAGCCATGACGTCACAAGAGAAGAGTGACGACTGTACTTGGGCTCTTTGGGCTGAATAGGAGAGTAGATCTCAATGGGCTTTTTACATCTCTGCTTTGGGCCGTTACACTTTTATCCCTAAACCGGTTAACCCACATAAAATGCGCGTTTCACTGGGCCTGAACTGGACCTCTACCATTTCCATCTCAAGCGATCTGGGCTGAGAACCTTAAAAAATAAAATAAAATAAAATAGATTCTAGAAAAAGAAAAGCCTGAATGACGTCCACCTTAGAATCCAAGTATTATTCGGTTGTTCCACAATTCCATGCAGTGGCGCCGTTCGGCTGGACTGAAAACCAGCCGGAATTTACTTTTTATAGCTGAAATCACTGTTTATGCTCTCACAAATTCCTCCAAATTTATCCGGATTCTTCCAAGCGAACAGGGCCTGCAATGTAGTCACGTAGATCCACATTTTGCTCCTCTCCATCTTCTCATGTACTTGCTTCTTCAAGAAATGACATTGTTTTTTTTTTGACAAATTACGACTAAAAACTTTTGTGCATGTTTTATTCAGGGGATTGTACTAGCTATGGTCACCAAGAACTGTAGATTTTGGCTTGCCTAAATTCACTATGACAGAATACCTAATCACAGACGGGCCTCAACTCCATCATAAACAGCCATTTCACGTGTCTGTGACTCTGTGTTGATGTGTCTATGATTTGACCACATCATAGACGATGCTACAACTCGCCAGGACCGGTTTCAGGCATTATCGGAACATTAACGACGCTACCAATAATTATTATTGGAGCAGGAACAGTCACATCATTCCCTCTCCTCTCGAAGCAAAGTTGTCCTCGTCTTTGGATGAATTTCAGCAAGCCCATTCTTTTTTTTTTTTTTTGGCTTGTTTAGATTGCAAGTTTTTTCACTCTCTCTCCATCACATTAAATCTTTGGACATATACATGGAGTATTAAATGTAGATAAAAAAAATAACTAATTACACAGTTTGATTGTAAATTACGAGACGAATCTTTTGAGCCTAGTTAGACCATGATTAGACAATAATTGTTAAATACAAACAAAAGTGCTACAGTGCCAAATACTGATTCCTAACCCCAATCTAAACAAGACCTACTGGAGGAAACAAACCCACTCTGCCTGCTGCGGCTGACCATCAGGCCCAGCAGACGGCTCTCAATCACGTTCACGTGAGACGGGGATTTCCACAACCGCCGTGCATCGTACTAATAATAAAACAAATTATAGAGGCATCACATTTTAAGGATGTTATATCGAGTATCATATAAAAATATCACATCAAGTATTTAAATACACTAGTAGAGAACATACCTTTCATCCGAGGTCAAAATAGGCTCTAGTCCCGGCATTTTTTTGCGCCCAGGACTAGAGAGACCTTTAGTCCCGGTTGGTGTCTCCAACCGGGACTAAAGGTCCCTAACCCAACGGCTTCAAGGCTCGGCATAGTGGCAGGGGACCTTTAGTCCCGGTTGGAGACACCAACCGGGACTAAAGGTGGACCTTTAGTCCCGGTTGGAGCCACCAACCGGGACTAAAAGTCCTCCAACCTTTAGTCCCGGTTGGTTCAAAAGAGAAGCATCCCATCTATTGTTAGATGTGTTGTGTAGGTGGGGTGGTAAGCTACGCGCGAGGTAATGTATGAGGTCTTGGGTTCGAATCTCACAGGACGCAGTGGTGGGAGACATTATTTTTTTTAAAGCTGAGAGGACCTTTAGTTCCGGTTGGTGTTATGCACCGGGACTAAAGGTTCCCGACCCGGGACTCCCGGATGCTTGCTCTCGGGTGGGGAACCGAGACTAGATCCACCGCATCATGACGGCCGCAGATCCTCCGGTGACGTGTGCGTTCAGCGTGCTAAACCTGGGCAAGGTGGCCGAGCTGTTCGTGGCGTGGCAGCGTGGGCTCAAGGGTGTGCCGTCATACTACGCCATCAAGTGCAACCCCAACTCGGCGCTGCTCGGAGCCCTGGCCGCTCTCGGCGCGGGCTTCGACTGCGCCAGCCCAGCCGAGATGGACGCCGTGTTCGCGCTTGGTGTCGCCGCCGACCGCATCATCTACGTGAACCCATGCAATCCCGAGGCACACATCCAGCACGCCGCGAGCGTCGGCGTTGACATCACCACCTTCGACTCGGTGGAGGTCGACAAGTTGACGCGCTTCCACCCGAGGTGCAGGCTTCTGCTCCGGCTCAAGGTCCCCGACGTCGGAGACGCCTCGCTGACCTAGGGCACCAAAATGCGGCGCGCGGCGGGAGGAGGTGGCGCGGCTCTGCGCGCCAGCCAGCGCGGCTCGGCGGTCTCGGGCGTCGCGTTCCACGTCGGGAGCGCCATGTCCCGCGTGGGCGTCTATGCGTGGCCGTGGAGGCGGCCAGCGCGCGTGTTTGACGCCGCCGCCAGCGCCCGCGGCATGCCACCCATGCGCGTCCTGGACATCGGCGGGGGTTCATGGCGGCACCGCCTCCGTTCCGGGGCGCATGCGACGTGATAAACTCACTGCTGGCGGCGAGCCACTTTGGGGACGTCCTCCCGGCCTCTAGGTGATTGACGAGCCGGGCGCTACGCCAGCGAGACGCCGTTCACGCTTCGCCGCGCGTTTTTTAGGAAGCGCCGCGCGGCGAGGTCTTGCGCGGTAATCTTTGGATCGACGACGGCTTGTTCGGCATGTTGTGCTGCGTCCACATGGAGAACTACGTGCGCGCCCTGTGCCAGTGTCGGGTCGCGCTGCCGCCGGCGACGACGCCAACGATGACGAAGGCGGTGAGACTGAGACACACCCGTCGACGGTGTTCGGTCCCACGCTCGACTCGTTCGACGTGGTGGTGAAGGGTTACCATCTGCCAGAGCTGCGCATCGGGGACTGGCTGGTGTTCCACGACGTTGGCGCCTACACCACCGTGCTGAGCTGTGACATCAATGGCTTCTCCACGTTCGACATGAAAACCTACCTCGCCTTCTCCTCTGTCTAGATTTCGATCTACTAGTAGAACCCTTGTTTAGGAACAAAATTCTATGCGGCGGGCAACTTTTCATATGGTGCGACACCACCTGCATGCCATTCAATCGAGCGGACGATGGATGGGTGTCTGTTGTCTAGTGGAGGCAGTGTCGCACCAGCAGCCTTGTGCGGCACCGCCGTATATAAATTCAGAAATGCTATATAATACACATGTGTTTTAACACAGAAAAACACATGAATTTTTTAGCATAGAAAACCACGGGCGCCGTGGTTTGGTTCTTGCGTCTATGAGAAACGGAGCGGAGGGGCGCCGCCAACTGCCTCCGGCAGCCCTCGGCGTGTGCACCAACCGATCGGCCGGACCGGCCGACCCTGCGCCTTTACAGTGCGGCATCGCTTTCTTTGCTGCTGCGCAGCGCGTCGCAGAGCTCCGCCTCTCCGAGCTCGGCCGCACTCAGCCAGCGCTGGGACGTCGGCCTTCGCCAAACTAACGACACCAGCTCCGGTGGCTCACCGCGCTTGAGGCGTTCAATGCCTTGGTGTTCCCCTTCCTCGGCCGGATCTCGTCTTGGTTTGGCCGCGACCTGTCATCGTCGTCGACCTGACCTCCGCTCCGTAGGCGTCAATGGCGAGCTCCTGACCGATCTCGGTGTGTCCAGGACCCATGACGAACGGGTAGGCAATGGAACCAACCGGTCTGTAATTTGTCATTCCATAGAAAAAAATTATTTTCTGTGATATGTGATCTATGATCTTGTGATTATCTGAAGGTAGAAGAAGGCTAGATGTAGAAGAAGAGTGGAGGCTGTTGGATCTTAATCTTATGGTGCAAAAAAATTCATATGTTGAAATTACATAAAACACATGGTTATCCAGTAAACAAACTCATATAAATTTCTTCCTCTTGTTTATACTCCATCCATCCTTCCTAATACATAAGACGTGTGACATCTGACCTACTTTGAAGTTTAGCCCGTTAGCCCATGTGCATGGAGATATTGTGGACGATTTAGTTCCACCTTGATTGTTAAAGGTGGGTAAGACCAACATATAAGGCTTTTAGAGTTTATCCAACTCCTTTTTTGAGGGCTTAGTTTCCTTTGTTCTACCCTAGGAGCCCTCAAATTCATCCCAATAGAGGGTGACACACGGACCCAATTGTCACTCGTTGATTGAGTGAGGTGGTTATGCTTAATATATACTAGGACGGAGGAAGTATTACTCTAAAATCTAATTTTTGAGGGCTTAATTTCCTTTGTTATACTCTAGGAGCCCTCAAATTCATCCCAATAGAGGGTGACACACAGACCCACTTGTCATCCTCGTTGATTGAGTGACACACGGGACCCACTCGTCATCCTTGTCGCTCTAATTGGCTGAGATATGAACTACATAGGAGAGGGATCGGAGTTGCAGATCTCATAGTGTGTGCCATCAGAGGAAGAAGAAGCGCGTGCGGGGAGCCATCTTCGAGGGGTCTCACCGTCGGAGGAAGAACCGGACATCGCTCGTGCTATGCGGAGCCTCGTCGAGGAGGCGGCTTCGAGCCGAGTATACTCGCAGGGGGAGAGGATTCGCGCTGGGAGGGAGCTATGCTGGAGCACCGCCCGGTGGGCCACGGGGTTGCACCGATCACATCGGGGGTGATGCCGAATGAAAGAACATAGAAAGGAAAGAGAAAAAAGAATGCTGCACTACTTCAGCAGTACTTTTTAGCGAACGAATAATGTTTTTCTCTCATAGCATTTCAGAATAAGCATCAGCATAAGCCAAATTTCAGCGAAACGAACATGCCATAATGTAAGAGCCCCACGTACAAGTGTCTTATCTCACTTCAATGTCTCTCAACTAAACTAGAACAAGGATGATCCTGTCCCCCTCAACCAGACACAAAGTAGGGACCATCCCATCCCAAAAACCTGAAATGGATCCATCACATCCCTCTCATCTCAGAACCAACACACCCATAGCTTTCATGGCATCTTTTTTTTACCCCAAAATACTGTGGGGGAGATCCCCACATTGCACGATTTTTATATTAATTTAATGAAAAAAATACTTACAACAGAGTTTTAACTAAAAGCATCAAGCCAAACACGAAAGGATGACCTAAGGTCCTCCTTCCAATGAACAGATTGGAGGAGACATTGACTCTTAAAATTGGACAACCATACACTAGGGCTTGGGTCTCTTCTTCGGAAGACCTTGTCATTATGCAGCTTCTACAGCTCCCATGCACCCCGCCTCCATGAAGAAAGGAAGGTTCTGAGCCATTGGTGCTTGAGCCAGCCTGTCCCTTTCATGACATCTTAGGGGCAACTCCATTATGCGTTCTAAGATCAAGCCCAATAATATAAGACTCGTATATAAGTAAAGCCAAGTCACCAATAGACAAGTTTAAAGTCTAATACATACAACAACTATTCTTTTAACTGGGTAGGCCCCTCGGTTGGGAAATGAGTCTGTTAAGGTTAGTTTTCTCTCTCCTTATCTGGTTACGAGTAGCTCACGTGGTGGGTGATTCACCCATTGTTGTACCTGTCCTAAGCCAGTGCAAAGAGGAGAGAGCAGAAAAGATGCTAGCCCTTAACAACACCTTACATAGTGTAAACAATAGAAAACAATTTTTCTTCTTTCATCCTTTCACCTCTCTTATTTCCTCACCACTCATATATTGATTGCTCACCCATCAACATACTAGTTTTTTATTTAGTGTGGGCCCACCTTAGTATATACTCCGTATAAGGAATTTACACGATGGAAACTTTTTGGCTAACGAAGCACCTATCGACGTGTCAACCTTTACACTTTGCTAAGAGGAAATACGCTGCGGCTGGCCTTAGACAACTCCATCTGATAAGAAGTCAACATCTTCAACTTTATCTAAAATTTTACAAAAAAGTAGTAATATTTACTATATGGAACGAATACCATTAAATAAATTATAAAATATTTTTTTATAATATTTGAAAATATAGTCAATGATATTATTTTCTTAAAATTTAAGAAAATTTGACTTGTCCTAAATCTATAATTATATATATGTTTTTGAACAGCGGGAGTACTCGTTTAGTGCCTTGTACTTACCCTTATATGCCTACTTGTTCAGACGCCCTCTAGTATATGTTTTGTGTGAAGATCCATATCCTAATTTTATAGTATGATTTATATTAATTAGCAAATAACGATAACCAATATCGACCACAATATACAAATTTTGTGTAGAAAATCCTTGGAGGAAAAAAAAACCCACAGATGTTTCTAATTCGCGCCTCAAACCGGGCGGCGTGACAGCAGATGGAGCGCACCTATCTCCTCTCGGACTCGCAGATGTGCACATAGCCAAAATAAATAAATAAAGCAGGTTGGTAGAGTCTTCGGTCTGCGACACCGCCGCACAGGAACTCGCGTGGGACACCACGTCTTCGCCTGACACGCGTCCCACTGGCCCCACCCCGTCGTTCCGCGCCGCGCGCCCCTCTGCTCAATCCGTGGCTCCGCGCTCCTTGTCAGCCAACGATCCAAATAGGTAGGGTTTGGGACAACTCCATCATGCCAAAAAGTGGATCTGAATCAAAGATTCACTTAGATTCATCGTGGAGCAGCTCCACTAGTGAACCTAGAAGAGCTAGAGGTGCTTGGGACAACTCCACCTTCATCTCTATTTCACTTCCACGTGGGTCCCACACGTCAGCCCTTCATCCCCTCTATCTTCATCTTCCTATAGATCATAACAGAGCAAAGCATCGCTGGGGAGTGGGGAGTGGCGCACGGCTGGCCCTGGGCGGGGCGGGCTCTGCGAGGGCGCGACCACGGCGCGTGGGGCTCTGCGTGGGGGCGCGGCTGGCCATGGGTAGGGCCTGAGCAGACCGCGTCGGGGCAGCGCTCGCGGATGGCGTTGGGCCCTCGTGCTCGGGGTGGGCGGCCTGGGGAGTGATGGACTATGGTCCTAGGGGCTCCCCATAGGGGTTACCACTCATATAGGCCCAGGGCTAGCCCACAATCTGCTGAAGGACACGAGACAAGGTGGCGGGGTCTTCAGGCTATCTAGATCGACTTAGTCGGTTTACTAAGAAAGTCAGATTCTGTAATAGGATTATGACTCTTCCATTGTAACCGACTAGGACTAGATACATGTCCTTACCCTCTCTCCTATATAAAGAGAGGTCTGATGTACCCCTTGTAACCCTAACAATCATACCAATCTATCCAACGCAAAAGGCTACACGTCGACTGGACGTAAAGGCTATTACTCGATCACGAGGGCCCGAACCAGTATAAACCGTTCGTCTCTTTACGTTTGTTGTCGAGTTCTGCGTACGCCGAAGCCCTTAAAACATCGTCCCAGTTAACCCCATGATGAGTTGTCGGTCATCAAACACTGACAGATAGTGCGCCAGGTAGAGGCTTTCGACGACTTCATGATCGAGAGCTCGGCGGATCTCGACAACATGATTTTCTCGACGGGAACCACCTTCATCTTCGGCTCCTGGATCTGCAAGGCAGACGACAGCGGCAAGCTCCAAAGTCACCTCATGGAGGTCCCGGCAATTCGGGCTCCTTTAGCCGTCTCTAAACCATGCTGGATCATCTCGCCGAGAAGTTTTCTCACCTGTCAATTTCTGATCTAACTCGGACACGGGAGGTTAGCAAGAACCAAGACTCACACTTGGAATGAGCGAGCTGTCTGAGTTGGAGATCCCATTTGAAGTCCAACCTAAAGAACCAAGTCGTTTTCCACTCGAACTCAAGAATACAACTTCAATCTATCAAGATACAATCAGCTACCTCGTGTAGTCCGAGTAAGAGATCCCATTGATAGGTTCCCAAAAGGGCCTGGTTTTATCCATCACACCTGAGGGGAACATTGTTCATTGGCCGGGTGCTCGACCCGACACCTCTTCTATAGATCCATCATGTCTAGTCGGCATGGTAGAACTCCTGCCTTACAAGGACAGCAACACCCTTCCAACTGACAACGATCACAGTTCTACAGAGATTTTGGACAGC